CCTCTCCCCCTTCCTTCCCCCCCACAATGGCCGATGCCCTCCCCTTCCCCAGCGGCGCCTGCCCGGCCTGGCCCGGCCCACGTCTGTCACCCGTGACCTTGGCCTCCCCACCCCGCCCGTGTCTGTTTGTCTTTCCAGTCCAGCTCATCGCCCGGCCGGTCACCGGGTGTTGACTCTGCACATTCCTCCCCGGCCGGGCCCACCGCTGGAAGCCATCACCCGGGGCTGGCACGCTGCCCTCCCCACTGCCGGCCCACCAGGCCGGGCTCCGGCTGCTGATAACTTCAGGGACTTCCCGTGAGGAGGAGGAGGAGGAGGAGGAGGAGGGAGAGGTAGCCCTCGGCGACTGGCACTGCTTGGGAACCGGGGTGTGGATTCTTGCTGCCTCCAGCCCGGGTCTGCCCTGGTCTCAGCCCGTCTCGGCTCTCCCCAGGCAGCGCTGGGACCCATCCCGTGCCCACCAGCACCATGGCATCGGGGTGGTCCTGCCGGCTCCTCCTGCTGCTCCTGCCTGCCCTGGTCGGTGCCGGGGGGGCTGGAGGTCCCATTCTCTTCAACCGCCCCTTCGTCACCATCTGGAACATCCCCACCGAGCGCTGTGCTGAGAAGTACAACGTAACCCTCAACCTGGAGGTCTTCGATGTGTTGGCCAACGACCAGCAGTCCTTCGTCGGACAGGATATCACCCTCTTCTACGCCAAGGAGCTGGGGCTTCTCCCCTACTACACACCTGAGGGGGTGCCAGTGAACGGGGGGATCCCCCAAAATGCCAGCCTGGAGGCCCACCTCCGCCAGGCCACCCGTGACATCGAGGTCACCCTGCCCAACCCTGCCTATGATGGGCTGGCTGTCATCGACTGGGAGAAGTGGCGCCCGCTGTGGGTCCGCAACTGGGACTCCATGGACATCTACCGGCAGAAGTCGGAGGAGCTGGTGCGGCAGCAGCACCCGCAGTGGCCCCCTGACATGGTGATGGAGGAGGCCAAGAAGCAGTTTGAGCAGAGCGCCCGTGACTTCATGGAGAAGACCCTGCAGCTGGGTGAGACCCTCCGTCCTGACGGCTACTGGGGTTTCTATGGCTTCCCTGACTGCTACAACGATTTCCACGGCCTGCCCTACGCCGGAACGTGCCCAACGGTGGAGCAGCAGAGGAACAAGGAGCTGCGGTGGCTCTGGAAGAGCAGCCGGGCGCTCTACCCCAGCATCTACCTGCCCCCCATCTTCAACGGCACCGGCAAGGCTCTCACCTACGTCCGGCACCGTGTGGCTGAGGCCTTTGCCGTCCAGCGTGGTGTCCTCAACAGCAGCATCCCCGTCCTGCCCTACTCCCAGATTGCCTTCGACTGCACCGTCGACTTCCTCTCCCAGGTGATGGGGATGGTGGGCACCTTTTGGGCTGATGGGTTGGTTCTGGGGAGTCTTCAGCCCTGTCAGGGTGGCCTTGGGCACCATTAACTTCTCCTCTCCCCTTGGGTGCAGGAGGACCTGGTGAACACCATCGGGGAGAGCGCAGCTCAGGGCACCGCTGGCATCATCCTCTGGGGCAGCCTCAACTACAGCAGCTCCAAGGTGAGTGTGGGAGGTGGCACTGCCCATGGGGATCCCCCTATTCCCTGGCCACGCAGGGCTGTGACACTTTGTGATGTTGCAGGAGATGTGTCTGAGGCTGAAGGACTACATAGAGGGGCCCCTGGGCCACTACATCGTCAACGTGACGACCAGCGCTTCTCTGTGCAGCCAGAGCCTGTGCTCCGGCCGGGGTCGCTGCGTGCGCCAGGAGAACAAGAAGGGCTTCCTCCACCTTGACCCCTTCCGCTTCGCCATCAAACTGCAAGCTGGCAAGCCCTGGCTGGTGGCACAGAGCCTGGAGTCCAGCGGTGACGACATCTCCCGGCTGGCCCAGGAGTTCAGCTGCCAGTGCTACCACAAGTGGCAGGGACCTCGCTGTGACACCCAGGGCTTTGCAGAGTGAGGTCCCCACACCGTGCCGGGCACACCGGGGAGGGCAGGGTGACCATCCCCATCAACCTTCACTGTGGGGCTGGAAACCCGACCGTGGGGCTGCTAATAAAGCTGGTAAGAACCTGCAAGCGTCTCCTTGTCTTTCGGCACAGCAGATTTTGGGGTGAGAGGGTCCCCAGCGACACAGGGGTCAGGCCAGGGGGTTTGGGAGCATCACCCCTCGGAGAAGCCAGGAAAAAAAGAGGAAAAATTATGGGAAAAGACATAGGAAGAGGGATAACGGGGGAAGAAGATGAGGAAAGGGGAAGAGAGGTGAGCGGAGGTGACAGAGGTGAAAAGATGTGCCTGTGTGGAAGTGGCCACTCTGGCCCCCCCCTCCCTTCCACCCCTCCCCAGGCATGCAGGGCTGCAGTGAAACCAGTGTTTTCAGTGAAATCCAGGATTTTTCTCCTGGATAATTTCATGCAAACTGGTTCAGCTCCGGACTGATGCTAAAGATCACCCGTGTCTGTAACGCAGGCTGCTGACGTCCTTTTGGGGACGGGATGTCATCCAAAAGGACCTGGACAGGCTGGAGAGGTGGGCCCAGGTGAACCTCATGAGGTTCAACAAGAGCAAATGCAAGGTTCTGCACCTGGGCCGGAACAATCCTCGCCACCAATACAAACTAGGGGGTGAGGTGTTGGAAAGCAGCCCTGAGGAAAGGGACTTGGGGGTTCTGGTGGAGGAGAAGCTGGACATGAGCAGGCAGTGGGCAGCTGCAGCCCAGAAGGCTAATCGCATCCTGGGCTGCATCAAAAGAAGCGTTGCCAGCAGGTCCAGAGAGGGGATTCTGCCACTTTACTCTGCACTGGTGAGACCTCACCTGGGGTATTGTGTGCAGGTCTGGAGCCCTCAATATAAGAAGGATATAGACCTGATGGAGAGGGTCCAGAGGAGGGCCACGAGGATGATCAGGGGGATGGAGCACCTCTGCTACGAGGACAGGCTGAGGGAGCTGGGGTTGTTCAGCCTGGAGAAGAGGAGGCTCCGGGGAGACCTAACAGCAGCCTTCCAGGACCTGAAGGGAGCCTACAGGAAGGCTGGGGAGAACCTGTTTAGAAAGGCCTGTAGTGACAGGACGAGGGGAAATGGCTTCAAGCTGGAGGGGAACAGATTTAGATTGGAGATTAGAAGGGGGTTCTTTACTGTGAGGGTGGTGGAGCACTGGAACAGGTTGCCCAGGGAGGTGGTTGAGGCCCCATCCCTGGAGATATTCAAGGAGACGCTCGACGAGGCCCTGGGCAACCTGGTCTAGTTGGGGGTGTCCCTGCTGACTGCGGGGAGGTCGGACTAGATGGCCTTTGGAGGTCCCTTCCGGCCTGGGAAATTCTATGATTCTATGACTCAGCAATACCTATCTTTAGTGATCGGGCGTGAGCTGCAACACTGCTTCCCTGCTCCAGCTTGGCTGGAGATTGCCATCTTCAGCTGGATGTTCAGCTTGGGATGGGGGAATCACACGCTCAGCTCTCTGATCTTGGGCCCTAGTCTCTCCATGATGGGACTGTGCGTTGCGTGTTTCCTGGGGACTGACTTTTACAAACTTGCACCCTGGTTAAGGGTGCTGGTTAAGCCACTGCAAAGCGTAGACAATGGCTCTATGGCCCAGCAATGTCACCTGAAGACTCCCAAGGCTTGTGAGCGCCTGGCCGCCTGGCATGCCTTGGGTGAATGGCTCTGCAGAAGAGATGTCTCACTCATAGGTGTCACAGGGAAGAGCAACCTTGGTGTGTGCACCATCTAACTCTCATCCTGGATTTTACTCTATAGTGATGAGAAACCAGACAGGGCTTTTCTCAGAAATGGTACCACTGGTGGCACATCAGTTGGTTCTGCTTAGTGTTTGGATGGTGAAATAAGAACTGACCCTGGGGTTGTGCTGTACAAACAGGACAGGACAACGGGAAAAGGTTTATTGTCCAAACAGTTTATTCCCAACTCTACTAGGTTCTAGTTCTTAACAACTCTATTATGATCTATCGTCTTAAAACGCTACGAATTAGAAACTATGGACTTGTGGATGACTCTCTGTGCTCCATTTAGGACATGCCATGCTGGGGTGCATCTGCAGGGTTGGGGGTGCAGGTGCAGGTGGGGCAGTGGGGTGGTCTTGGCCCCAGCAGAGCTGAGCCTGCTGCCAGCACGGGCACTGGGAAGCACAGAGGAGCCTGAGCATGGGGCTGGAGACCCTCTGGGGCTTGGCTGCTGGGTGGTGGGAGGAAGAAGAAGGACAGAGGGATGAGCCTCTGGCCGCCTGCTGCTCCGGCCGGCTGGGGAAGGGTGGGAGCAGCTGCTGGTGGAGGTGGCGTGACACTGGTGAGGCTGGGAGGTGCCTCAGCCCATCGCTTGGTGGGAACTGGTGTGTCCCCTGCAGGCTGACCCCCTGGGCTCGTGGAGGGGTGGCCTTCATCCACTGCTGGGGCATCCGAGGCTCTCCGCTTGACACCAACCCTCCTCTTGCAGCTCTCCAGCAGGTGGGGATGGTTCCTGTTAAAGTTAGGATTGTAGTAGTAGAGGATCTAAAAAAAGCAAAGGAGGATAATTAGTTGCCACCATTTTGAGACTGGTTACACTGAGCCTGTCTTTCCATTTAACAGTTTCAAACTAAGCAGATAGAAGCAAACTGTTTTCTAACTGTGTTTCTACCAGTCAGAGAGACTAACTCCAACCTTCCTGAAAAGGACCCAAGAAGGAAATTAAACCCAGAGCACTCGTTACCATCCCCATCCCCTCTGTTGTGAGGCCCCTTATGACATGAAGGCCCATCTCTCCCCCAAGACCACCGTGAGCGTTAGTGGAAGTGCAGAGCAGCTGCTGTACCTGGCTGTGGGCAGAAGCTGCTGCTTCTTCTGCCAGGAATTCGGGCAGGGAGGCAGATCTTTGGACATCATTCTTCAGTTTTGTGAATCCATAGAGATTCATCTGCCTGAGGAAGCTCTTCATGGTGTTCATGCCGAAAACTCGTTGAGGTCCTCCCCTGCCCAGCACTTCCTCTTTGAAGAGTCCTTCGTTGATGGCAACACATTTCCCACCTGCACTCCACCAAATGGACTGAAACTGGGGGCTTTCTACCAGTTTCCACAGCTTTTGTGGAAAGTGGAGGGCTGTGAATTCATTGGCTTCAGCCTCCTTCTTGTTGGAAACAGGAGGGACTTGTGTGGTCCCGTGTCCCTCACTGCCAGGGTGGACATCCTGCTCCTCCTCCCACTCTCGGACGGCAGCGTCGCAGGGTGCTCTTTCCCCCAGCTCGTCCGGAGCAGAAAAGGTTGGTGTTGCTGTGGGGGATGGCTGCCTTTCCATCTCTTCTCTCTCAGCGAGACCAAAGCTTTCCTCGTTGGACATTGCACTGGAGAGCCAGGCCTTGTCCTTCCAGCCAGCAAGCAAAGGCCAACTGGTGCCGGCTGACTGGGGCACCACTGGGATGTTCTGAGGTGCCATTGTGATGCCCGTGCTGCATAGCGGGGACATCACAGTGTGACATGGCGGTGCCGCAGTGGTGCCCTGTCAGGAGGGATCAGCCTGAGGAGACATTGCTGAAGAGCACTTGTAGCTTTTGTCTCCCAGAGCCAGCGGTGGTGGGTCTCCAGAGCCCAGAGGTCAATAAAGCTGTGTGGAACAGCCGTGGGCAGTGAGGGGACTGTGCTGTGTCCTGTTGCATGCAGGAGTGGGCCCACAGGGAGGAGCGGGGATGGCTGCAGTGTTGGGCATCCCAGTGCCATGTTTGGGAAGGTTTCCAGCTGGGCACCTCTGACTCCACCAGAAATGTCCTTAAGGTCTTTTTTGTGCTGGTGGCTCTTGAGCTCCCACTCCACAGCCTTTGGCAGAGAGTGGGGAGCAGCAGAACCCAGTGTCTACAGCACTGGGTTTGGGGAACCTCCTTCCACCTTCTGTTGCTTCATCTTCCCTGTGTGTAACCCTGACTAGGTCCCTCCTGCTCCCCTTTGTTTCCCTCCGGGTTGTCCAGTGGTGTGGGGAAGTGTTTCCTGGGCTGAAGGAATGGAAGAAAACAGAAATCTCTTCCAGTTTGCAGCCCATTTCTTCTCTGGACTGAGAAGGGCTCTGTCCTGTGAAGACACTGCTCCCAGGCCCGTGCCCCAGCCATGCTCCCCTCCCAGATTTCAGCCATCTCCCAGGGGCTGCTCTGTAGGACTAACTGGGAGTGGAACACGGCGAAGGCTGGGCAAAGGCAATGGAAGAAATGGGAGGTGTGCAACCACCCCTTTCCTCGGTTTGGTTCCTCGGCTTCTCTTTGCCGTCTCACAGGTGGGAAGGGAAGCAACAAAATCCATCCTGCTCTGGAAAGCTTCAGAATCAACCCCCTCTCTACAGGTTCAGGTGCTCTGTCTGTAAAGGCAAGGGCTGATCTGGAGGGTGGTGGGACTCAGCGAGTCCCTTCCCTTTGGTGTTTGGATCCGGCCCTTGGGAGCTTTATGAGCCCGTGGTGTGAGTGTTGGGGCAGTGAAGGTGAGGACACTGAGCGTGAGCAGAGCTCTGAAGGGTGTTTGGGCAGAGCCAGGAGGGTCTCCTGAGCTGCTGGTGCATCCCCAAAGGCCTGGCCCAGGCAGAGGCAAGGCACAGACGGGCTGGGCTTTGCTGTTTCCCTGCAGAGCTGGGGAAGGCAAGAGTCTGGGGGCAAAATGGGGTGGACCGAGTGTGGACGCCTGCATGGCTTCATGTCTTAAATGAGAGTGAAGCCTCATTTCTTCTTTTTTTTTTTTTTTAGCTCTGCCATAAAGGGAAGGTCTGGTATTTCCTTGTGGCACCACAGGGTTCATTACTGCTCCCCTCCGGGGTTCCTGCAGCCGCTTTGGAGCCCGTGGTCTAGAAAGAGGGAGCAACCTCTGTGTCCTCTGCTGGAGAGTGTGTTGCAAACGCAGAGGTTTGAAGAAGCTGGCTCAATAGCTGTGATGAGCCCAGATCTGGGTTAGTGTTTTTCAAAGGCATGATTTAATGGGGTGCTCTTTGCTCAGACCTGTGTTCCTACTTTGGTTTGCTTCTGGAGGAGTTTATGGAAATGTGGGAAACTCTGAAAGTAGGTGCAAGATCTCTGATTTCTAAGAATCTCAGCTTGAGTGTTGGGCAAAATCGTTGAAGTGCTTCTACTTTGGTGGGTGAAATAAGAAACCTGTCTGGGCTTCTGCTGTGCAAAGAGGACAGGACAACGGGAAAAGGTTTATTGTCCAAACAGTTTATTCCAACTCTACTAGGTTCTAGTTCTTAACAACTCTATTATGATCTATCGTCTTAAAATGCTACGAATTAGAAACTATGGACTTGTGGATGACTCTCTGTGCTCCATTTAGGACATGCCATGCTGGGGTGCATCTGCAGGGTTGGGGGTGCAGGTGCAGGTGGGGCAGTGGGGTGGTCTTGGCCCCAGCAGAGCTGAGCCTGCTGCCAGCACGGGCACTGGGAAGCACAGAGGAGCCTGAGCATGGGGCTGGAGACCCTCTGGGGCTTGGCTGCTGGGTGGTGGGAGGAAGAAGAAGGACAGAGGGATGAGCCTCTGGCCGCCTGCTGCTCCGGCCGGCTGGGGAAGGGTGGGAGCAGCTGCTGGTGGAGGTGGCGTGACACTGGTGAGGCTGGGAGGTGCCTCAGCCCATCGCTTGGTGGGAACTGGTGTGTCCCCTGCAGGCTGACCCCCTGGGCTCGTGGAGGGGTGGCCTTCATCCACTGCTGGGGCATCCGAGGCTCTCCGCTTGACACCAACCCTCCTCTTGCAGCTCTCCAGCAGGTGGGGATGGTTCCTGTTAAAGTTAGGATTGTAGTAGTAGAGGATCTAAAAAAAGCAAAGGAGGATAATTAGTTGCCACCATTTTGAGACTGGTTACACTGAGCCTGTCTTTCCATTTAACAGTTTCAAACTAAGCAGATAGAAGCAAACTGTTTTCTAACTGTGTTTCTACCAGTCAGAGAGACTAACTCCAACCTTCCTGAAAAGGACCCAAGAAGGAAATTAAACCCAGAGCACTCGTTACCATCCCCATCCCCTCTGTTGTGAGGCCCCTTATGACATGAAGGCCCATCTCTCCCCCAAGACCACCGTGAGCGTTAGTGGAAGTGCAGAGCAGCTGCTGTACCTGGCTGTGGGCAGAAGCTGCTGCTTCTTCTGCCAGGAATTCGGGCAGGGAGGCAGATCTTTGGACATCATTCTTCAGTTTTGTGAATCCATAGAGATTCATCTGCCTGAGGAAGCTCTTCATGGTGTTCATGCCGAAAACTCGTTGAGGTCCTCCCCTGCCCAGCACTTCCTCTTTGAAGAGTCCTTCGTTGATGGCAACACATTTCCCACCTGCACTCCACCAAATGGACTGAAACTGGGGGCTTTCTACCAGTTTCCACAGCTTTTGTGGAAAGTGGAGGGCTGTGAATTCATTGGCTTCAGCCTCCTTCTTGTTGGAAACAGGAGGGACTTGTGTGGTCCCGTGTCCCTCACTGCCAGGGTGGACATCCTGCTCCTCCTCCCACTCTCGGACGGCAGCGTCGCAGGGTGCTCTTTCCCCCAGCTCGTCCGGAGCAGAAAAGGTTGGTGTTGCTGTGGGGGATGGCTGCCTTTCCATCTCTTCTCTCTCAGCGAGACCAAAGCTTTCCTCGTTGGACATTGCACTGGAGAGCCAGGCCTTGTCCTTCCAGCCAGCAAGCAAAGGCCAACTGGTGCCGGCTGACTGGGGCACCACTGGGATGTTCTGAGGTGCCATTGTGATGCCCGTGCTGCATAGCGGGGACATCACAGTGTGACATGGCGGTGCCGCAGTGGTGCCCTGTCAGGAGGGATCAGCCTGAGGAGACATTGCTGAAGAGCACTTGTAGCTTTTGTCTCCCAGAGCCAGCGGTGGTGGGTCTCCAGAGCCCAGAGGTCAATAAAGCTGTGTGGAACAGCCGTGGGCAGTGAGGGGACTGTGCTGTGTCCTGTTGCATGCAGGAGTGGGCCCACAGGGAGGAGCGGGGATGGCTGCAGCGTTGGGCATCCCAGTGCCATGTTTGGGAAGGTTTCCAGCTGGGCACCTCTGACTCCACCAGAAATGTCCTTAAGGTCTTTTTTGTGCTGGTGGCTCTTGAGCTCCCACTCCACAGCCTTTGGCAGAGAGTGGGGAGCAGCAGAACCCAGTGTCTACAGCACTGGGTTTGGGGAACCTCCTTCCACCTTCTGTTGCTTCATCTTCCCTGTGTGTAACCCTGACTAGGTCCCTCCTGCTCCCCTTTGTTTCCCTCCGGGTTGTCCAGTGGTGTGGGGAAGTGTTTCCTGGGCTGAAGGAATGGAAGAAAACAGAAATCTCTTCCAGTTTGCAGCCCATTTCTTCTCTGGACTGAGAAGGGCTCTGTCCTGTGAAGACACTGCTCCCAGGCCCGTGCCCCAGCCATGCTCCCCTCCCAGATTTCAGCCATCTCCCAGGGGCTGCTCTGTAGGACTAACTGGGAGTGGAACACGGCGAAGGCTGGGCAAAGGCAATGGAAGAAATGGGAGGTGTGCAACCACCCCTTTCCTCGGTTTGGTTCCTCGGCTTCTCTTTGCCGTCTCACAGGTGGGAAGGGAAGCAACAAAATCCATCCTGCTCTGGAAAGCTTCAGAATCAACCCCCTCTCTACAGGTTCAGGTGCTCTGTCTGTAAAGGCAAGGGCTGATCTGGAGGGTGGTGGGACTCAGCGAGTCCCTTCCCTTTGGTGTTTGGATCCGGCCCTTGGGAGCTTTATGAGCCCGTGGTGTGAGTGTTGGGGCAGTGAAGGTGAGGACACTGAGCGTGAGCAGAGCTCTGAAGGGTGTTTGGGCAGAGCCAGGAGGGTCTCCTGAGCTGCTGGTGCATCCCCAAAGGCCTGGCCCAGGCAGAGGCAAGGCACAGACGGGCTGGGCTTTGCTGTTTCCCTGCAGAGCTGGGGAAGGCAAGAGTCTGGGGGCAAAATGGGGTGGACCGAGTGTGGACGCCTGCATGGCTTCATGTCTTAAATGAGAGTGAAGCCTCATTTCTTCTTTTTTTTTTTTTTTAGCTCTGCCATAAAGGGAAGGTCTGGTATTTCCTTGTGGCACCACAGGGTTCATTACTGCTCCCCTCCGGGGTTCCTGCAGCCGCTTTGGAGCCCGTGGTCTAGAAAGAGGGAGCAACCTCTGTGTCCTCTGCTGGAGAGTGTGTTGCAAACGCAGAGGTTTGAAGAAGCTGGCTCAATAGCTGTGATGAGCCCAGATCTGGGTTAGTGTTTTTCAAAGGCATGATTTAATGGGGTGCTCTTTGCTCAGACCTGTGTTCCTACTTTGGTTTGCTTCTGGAGGAGTTTATGGAAATGTGGGAAACTCTGAAAGTAGGTGCAAGATCTCTGATTTCTAAGAATCTCAGCTTGAGTGTTGGGCAAAATCGTTGAAGTGCTTCTACTTTGGTGGGTGAAATAAGAAACCTGTCTGGGCTTCTGCTGTGCAAAGAGGACAGGACAACGGGAAAAGGTTTATTGTCCAAACAGTTTATTCCAACTCTACTAGGTTCTAGTTCTTAACAACTCTATTATGATCTATCGTCTTAAAATGCTACGAATTAGAAACTATGGACTTGTGGATGACTCTCTGTGCTCCATTTAGGACATGCCATGCTGGGGTGCATCTGCAGGGTTGGGGGTGCAGGTGCAGGTGGGGCAGTGGGGTGGTCTTGGCCCCAGCAGAGCTGAGCCTGCTGCCAGCACGGGCACTGGGAAGCACAGAGGAGCCTGAGCATGGGGCTGGAGACCCTCTGGGGCTTGGCTGCTGGGTGGTGGGAGGAAGAAGAAGGACAGAGGGATGAGCCTCTGGCCGCCTGCTGCTCCGGCCGGCTGGGGAAGGGTGGGAGCAGCTGCTGGTGGAGGTGGCGTGACACTGGTGAGGCTGGGAGGTGCCTCAGCCCATCGCTTGGTGGGAACTGGTGTGTCCCCTGCAGGCTGACCCCCTGGGCTCGTGGAGGGGTGGCCTTCATCCACTGCTGGGGCATCCGAGGCTCTCCGCTTGACACCAACCCTCCTCTTGCAGCTCTCCAGCAGGTGGGGATGGTTCCTGTTAAAGTTAGGATTGTAGTAGTAGAGGATCTAAAAAAAGCAAAGGAGGATAATTAGTTGCCACCATTTTGAGACTGGTTACACTGAGCCTGTCTTTCCATTTAACAGTTTCAAACTAAGCAGATAGAAGCAAACTGTTTTCTAACTGTGTTTCTACCAGTCAGAGAGACTAACTCCAACCTTCCTGAAAAGGACCCAAGAAGGAAATTAAACCCAGAGCACTCGTTACCATCCCCATCCCCTCTGTTGTGAGGCCCCTTATGACATGAAGGCCCATCTCTCCCCCAAGACCACCGTGAGCGTTAGTGGAAGTGCAGAGCAGCTGCTGTACCTGGCTGTGGGCAGAAGCTGCTGCTTCTTCTGCCAGGAATTCGGGCAGGGAGGCAGATCTTTGGACATCATTCTTCAGTTTTGTGAATCCATAGAGATTCATCTGCCTGAGGAAGCTCTTCATGGTGTTCATGCCGAAAACTCGTTGAGGTCCTCCCCTGCCCAGCACTTCCTCTTTGAAGAGTCCTTCGTTGATGGCAACACATTTCCCACCTGCACTCCACCAAATGGACTGAAACTGGGGGCTTTCTACCAGTTTCCACAGCTTTTGTGGAAAGTGGAGGGCTGTGAATTCATTGGCTTCAGCCTCCTTCTTGTTGGAAACAGGAGGGACTTGTGTGGTCCCGTGTCCCTCACTGCCAGGGTGGACATCCTGCTCCTCCTCCCACTCTCGGACGGCAGCGTCGCAGGGTGCTCTTTCCCCCAGCTCGTCCGGAGCAGAAGGGGTTGGTGTTGCTGTGGGGGATGGCTGCCTTTCCATCTCTTCTCTCTCAGCGAGACCAAAGCTTTCCTCGTTGGACATTGCACTGGAGAGCCAGGCCTTGTCCTTCCAGCCAGCAAGCAAAGGCCAACTGGTGCCGGCTGACTGGGACACCACTGGGATGTTCTGAGGTGCCATTGTGATGCCCGTGCTGCATAGCGGGGACATCACAGTGTGACATGGCGGTGCCGCAGTGGTGCCCTGTCAGGAGGGATCAGCCTGAGGAGACATTGCTGAAGAGCACTTGTAGCTTTTGTCTCCCAGAGCCAGCTGTGGTGGGCCTCCAGAGCCCAGAGGTCAATAAAGCTGTGTGGAATGGCTGTGGGCAGTGAGAGGACCATGCTGTGTCCTTGCTGACTGTGTTGCATCCAGTAGTTGGCCCGCCAGGAGGAGCGGGGATGGCTGCAGTGTTGGGCATCCCAGTGCCATGTTTGGGAAGATTTCCAACTCCCCAACTCTGACATCTGCAGAAATGTCCTTACAGTCCATGTTGGCTTGTCCCTGGATGCTGACTCTAAGGGCACATCATCCAAGCTGTTAAAGCCACCTAAAGTTTGCATTCACCTAAAGGCAAAGAGTAGCTGAAGGGAAAAGGAAGAAAAAAGAAGAAAGGGAATCCACTTCACAGTTGCTTGATGTTTCTCTTCTGCCCTGGGGACACAGTGGCTCCTGTCTTCTCACTGGGCAGAAGCATGAAGTATAAGAGATAGGAGATCTTGTACAGGTGGCACACTTGCGTCAGTTTTGGCAACAAAGCCCTACAGCCACGAATTGCTGCCAAACATCTGTTTTTCAAGCTGCTCTCTCCAGGGCACAAATGTCTTTCCAAAAGCAGTTACTAACACCAACATCCTGGCTCAAATAACTCGGGCTTGTGAGAACCCCCATTTGTACAGACCCCAGCAATAACCAGCATTTTATTTCTGCGGAGTTCCTACAGCTGATGTGTTCTTTTCTGTTATTACATTGAAGAAAAGTCTGAGAAGGTACCAATGGAGACATGATTATACCTTTGGAATCCCCAGTCACAGCTTTTAGAAACACGTACTGGGTCATTACTGAGCTCTTTGCCAAGCTGGTGGCCCCTTAAAAATTAGTCATAATTTGATTTTGGCCTAGAATGTATTGTTCAATCTAATTCTTATAGAGATAGCTTGGTAAATGTTGGGCATCAATGTTGGAAACAATATTATCTTAGTATTTTTTGTATGTGGAATGTGATTTAACTCAATCGCACTCCTCCCAGGCTACAGAGAATCTGAATTTGCCGTGTATTAAATGCTGAAATTGGAAGCAAAGTTCACCTTGCTATTCACACAAAGAAAATGACTGTGAATTTCAAGTCCTCTTTATGCCTGGAAGGTATCACAGCTGCACGCTGGGAGCTTTTAGTCATTTAATATCCTTCAAGTGTTGAGCTTCTGAATATCTGGTGCATCGTTAGGGGCTGGTTTGGGGCTTCTGCTGGGCACAGAAATTTGTGTTATCTCAATCCATTAACTGAACTGGGCGCTGAAACAAGCATGAGGAAAGAGACGCTCCCTCTGGAGCTGCAGAAGGGTCTAACACTGTCAGAAGCTGCATAAGCACGAGAAGAAACCCTGCCTCTAGGTGCTGGCTCGTGGCTCACCTTAAATAAAAGTGAGGCTGGAAACCTCGACCAGACCTGTTTCTTGTTGTTGAAATAACACAAGCTTGGGCATGAAGGCAGTTTATCACCTTCAAACAATACTTTTAAATATGTAAGAGGATTTGTTGTACTCATCCTACTTACGGTAGCTATTCCTCAGTCCTTGCCTCTTACACTGTGTCTAAAGACACCCAAGACACCGGATTTCATGTCATCTAGCTTGTCTTACTCCAGGCTCCGAGGAATAGAGACTATGAAGGCACTGCGCGTCGGTGCCAACAGACAACTTAGAAGCTTTGAACATCTGCTGGGTTCTTTTTTTTTTTTCCCTCCAGGTCTGCAAACCACGCTGTGCCTTGTAAATGTGTGGTGCTCAGCAAATCCATCTGCAGCGCCGGAGCGAGCCCCTGCTCGGCAGGAGGGGGCTGGAGAGGAGCCAAAGCAAGAGGTGCCAGCAGCCATCCGACAGCGGCCCCCTGCCTCTGTGTGGTTCACATTTCTGGCTGCCCCAGGTCTCCTGGGTGGAGTACACTTACGGTGCCGTCACACCAGCCCCTGGTCTCTCTGCTCGGGATGACTGAGAAACCTGCTGCGCTCGGAGCTCGCTCTTCCACGGGGTTCACATAAAACTGATTTCTAGGCTTCTTCCAGGTGCTGCCTAAAGAAATAAGGGCAGGCTGTCACTTAAAACTGTCCTCACATTACCTAGCTTTTCATTTCAACAACTGTATTTTTCGTCTAGGAAGCCTAAACCACAGATTATTTCCCCAAAGAATTTATGTTAAGTACTTACTATGGCTAACTATCCCAAAGACAGAAAACTGAATTGCTGATTGCTCTGAAATTAGATTATTTTATGATCTAGAATGAAGCTGCTAATAGTGTGACACCTTTAAATGCTTCAATACGACTAGGACATAAAGTAATTTAGCTGAATAGCAAGGTATAGACTAAGCCTTGCATAAAGCAGGTGGAAAAAAGCCCTCCTAAACAACCCACAGGCTTTTCAGATGCAAGCTGGAAATTAGAGACGTGTTAATTAGCTAATAAGAAATGTTCTCACCTGCCTTGTTGCCTGACTAACAATGTCAAAATCAGTAAAGACAGAGAAATTTCCCACATTGTTAAAAGTTGGTTTAGTCAGACACTGTTTTCAGTTTGGTCTTTATATTAACAGCCCATGCCTATGGTTAGATGACCAAGAAGGTAACTGTCTTCTGAGACATCAGGAGTTGTTTCAGAACCTCACTAGTTAGCATTTGCCATTGCATTTCACTTCATCCAAAGCTTTGGATAGAAATCATAAAACCAGCCTTAGAAGACTCGGAAGCATGTTCTTCTAGACCACTTCTCCTGCAGCTCTTGCAACTGGGTGCTTCTCCCATAGCACCTATGAGTAGGCGCTCTTTTGGGCTCAACCTATGAGTAGGAAGCTCTATTGGAAGAAAGAAATCCTTCCCAAAAGCAGTCACAATGGCTTAAAATTAAGTTCTTCTAGACCACTTCTCCTGCAGCTCTTGTAGCTGGGTGCTTCTCCCATAGCCTTTGGGCTCAACCTATCTTTTGGAAGAAATAAATCCTTCCCAAAAGCAGTCACAATAACTATATGGCTTAAAATCAAATAAATGGCACATGGGTCTTTAAAATGCCCTTTATTCCATCTATGTTGCTGCGGAGGCTTGTGGCACTCATGTACTGGTGACTGTCCAAGAGGTGAGGTTGCTTTGTAGGTGTGCAAGCACATTGCAGCTGAAGGAAGACAGAGGAGCACTGGGTGCTCTGCTTTCAGAGGAGATGCTGATGATCAGCAGTGCCAGACTGGTGGCATCAGGAGCATCTGAACAGAGACATGCTTTTGCAAAAGTAATAGACCAGAATTTATTTCCAGCAGCTTGAATGTGAGCGTCCATATCTCCTCCTGAAACCCCCAGCTCAGCCTGTGTCATCTTTTCCTCACTCGGAGTAGCACTGACTTGAACATGAGATCTTCTAACGACCAGTAACCTAAAATGAAAGTGGCTCTTCCTTATAGTCTCCTTGTGTTTGGGGTTTGTGTTTGAAAATCACCCACTTCTTATAATTTCTCTTCCTCAGGTATTTCTAGGAATAGTCTGAAAATATCTAAAAAACAAACAAAAAAAAATCCAAGAAAGTTCTAAAATGGTCTTCAGAGGCCACAGACTCCACTGTTGCCCTGGATTTGACATACCTTGTTCCAGGGAACTAGCAGGGATATCAGACGCCATTCCTCTGATTCAACAGATTGCAATTTCCGATGTTATTTGGAAAAAAAAAAAAGTAAACCCTGGAGCATGGTTTGCGGGCTCTCAGCAAGTGTTTAAACATCCAGCACAAACAGCAGACCCTGCTTCAGGTTACATAAATAAAAATGCCTCTGCCTTTGGAAACTTGTCCTGCTTTGTTCTATAAATTTTTTAAATCTGCCAGGGATGGGGCTGGGCACCAGAACAGGGCTTTCACCACAAAAATGCAGGTGCAGGAGCAACTCCTTTCTGGCGAGTGTTTCAAGTCTCACCCAGGCAGGGCTGGTGTGTGGGTTCGAGGGCTTCCACACCTTCTGCCGGGGGGACGCGTGGTCTGTTTTTCACTGCAGCCAGGGCCGTCGGAGGCAGAACACTCGTGCTATTTGCAGCGGCTCCGCGGCTCCGATTTGGCAGTAGCTCCTCTCCTAGTTATTTTCCACCCTGAGGCTTTAAAAACAGGCTAATCAGTGTCCTGTGCTGGCATTAGTAAGTCAGCAGGAGTGTTATCAACAGCCCGAGGAGGGTCAGAGCAAAGTCTTGCGAACGGACTCGAGCGAAGCCGTTTGCTCACGCTGTGTGTAAAACACCTTGCAAACTAATTACCCTCCAATGACATATTAAGCATAAAACCATGCGGTTCTCCAAACACTGGTCTAATCTGCTGATGCAGGCTTAAAGCAAACAGTGAATATTATAGCAAACCAGTTTGCATGAACTGTCCTGCATTTGATTGTAATTCTTCTCAGGAGGAAGTATCTGATTTGACAGATTACTGGTCATAATTCCCAATTAAGACATAAATAGCTGTAAGCCTCTGTGCTGTTGGGCAGAGTTCGGGGCTGGTTTTGGTTAAAAAAAAAAGAAAAACAAGTTGGAATTGGAGTAGGGGGAAAAGAAACAGAAAAAAACCCCTTTGAGACCACACCTGCCCTCGGTGCAAAGCATAAATTCTTTACTATCTTATTTGTTTTAATACACACCAACTGATACCTGCCCACAGCAGATACCAGCTGAGATAAGAGGGAGTTCGATATTTGAGGCCCAGCTTTTCTCACCATAACAACAAATCTGTGAGGAGAGCAGGAGGACACGGGTAACCGGCAGCACCCAGCACAGCAGGTGCAGTGCTGCTGGAAGGCCCACTTTTGCCAGAATTTATTATATACAGTCACGGTGTGTGATGCAGAACAACAGTGGCTGTCTGAACACAAATATCCTACATGCTCTGAGAGTGTGTATTGGGAAAAGCATCAGCAGAACACACACCATGCCAGAGGGGCATGTGTTTGCTTCCTTCTCTTCAAGGCAGCTGGGAAAAAGGGTGGTCTGCACCTAACCTTCTTCTCCTTTAATAAAACAGTGGAGGTGGTGACCTTTGAATATGGTCATCTGAAACCAGCCTGCTCTCCCTGACTGCATAAACCAGCCCCTGGGGCACAAGTGGCTCTTTACAGTACTGCCCTAGAACAGAAAAGCCTCCCTAAAATAAGCTACCCCTTCCTCCCTGCATCTCTGCCACCCTATCAAAATTAGCTAGATGGAGCAGATTTTCTGTCAAAAATCCATACTGCATTTAATCACACCACAAAATACTGATGCTGCTTTTTATCTCATGTACTAAACCTTGTTCAGTTTGCTTTGACAATCTGCTTATAGAATGTCCAATCAGTAATTACATTCCAATTGAACGATTTCAATTGAAAAGCTGCATTCTCCAGGTGAGCCCAAGAAGAAGCACCACCAAAATCTGCTACCCACTGCTCTTCAGGATGTTGGTCAGAAGGGTCATAAAACCTTTTCCTCTTTGGTTATGGCTAGAAGGCATAATATGAATGCTAGCTTTCTGTAAGCTATCAAAGCAAGCTTAAGCTTGTTTTCTAAGTAAGAAGAAGCTATTACTACATATGCAGGTTTATATAGAAATACCTACCAGTAACACAGAGTAGAGAGATCTCATCTTCAGAAAGTCTTAGTCTGGGTTGTTGCTAGATAAATCAATGTAAGAGTTAAAACAACAAGGCAATTAATTGATGAGGAATTCCAAAGTGAAACAGAAGGAATATACATCAGAGTATTCATTTCTATCATCATCTCAGTGTGCCATTTATTTCTTCTACTACACAGACACTAGCGGAGAGAAGTACAACACCGATGCAAGCAATTTGCCAAAAATGTGCTTCATATAATATTTATATAATCTTCCCACGTGCTGCCTGTTGTGAAGGGGAGATGTGATTAAAGATATGTTTTTTCTTAGTCAAAGGTTATGGAAAATCTCAGTTGTCTGGGATCGAGAAGCAGCACTTGACTACAGCTGCACGTACAGAAAACAAGCAGTACAAAAATAGCCAGAGAAACACTCCAGCAATGCACACAAGATTCCCCCTTCCAAAGAGCCTGAGAAAGGCCAGGCAAGCTCTTTGGGTCTGACCGAACTTGAGACAAGAATTCCCACTCACCGAGATAAGGCTTCCCAAACATCCGACGTCTCCAGTCTCCTTAATACATTCCCGTGCTCCAGGACAAGAGTCCACCTTGCTTTTTAAGATCTTGTGGTCTGGACAGATAAAATAGCTCAGAGGAAGGAAAAAGGGGGTAGAGCGTGATTACGTTAATAATTGTATTAACTTCTGCTTGCCAGCTCACCAACTGATGTTTCCGGCTGTTATTCTTCTCCTGCACACTTACAAATTATCTGGGTAAATACTGCAAAATATCTTTAAGGAAAATAGTTGTGTTTCCTAGCTCAACCAAATGCCATACAGTCCTGCATCTGCTCAGTTCCCAAGAGATTTAACAAAGGACCCAACAGCTTAAACCCTGCAATGGAACAGAGGAACTCGACCACAACCCAGCTAAAATAGTTATAAAAATCTCATTGATTCACCCATCTTAGTTATTGTCATCCAGGGATAAAAATGATTGGCTCACACTGAAGAAGGAGAAAATTAACCTGTGAAAATAACAGTTAATAGCATCAGTGTCCCCAGTCAGTCTAGGCTTGTCACAGCAAAGTTGCTCTGAAAAGCCCCATCAGATGCTTTCCCATGCCAAGCAGCTGAAGGCAAGCTGTGTTTTTGTGGCCTTTTCTGTAATCTTGGGGTAGAAATACACACTGGGCAGTAGATCTTGGAAGCCACAAAAATGTGCTTAAGGCAAAAGATTTTCCAAGGTCCATAAGTGTTGAAATGTTTCCGATTTAACTATTTTTGAGAAGGGCACAAGACTAAGTCAAACATCTTCTGAATGGGTGACCTTGCTTGCTCAGTCTATCTGAGCACAAGCTGGGCCCAAATATCCCAGGCAGGAACTTTGCAAGTACTTACCTTGAACTCTCTTCTCTCCTAAATACAAATAAATTATCAGTTTGTTGTTGGAGTTGGGGTTGTTGTGGTTTTTTTTCAGTGAATCTGCTCCTCGTTCTGCTTGCCTAATTAACTACACCTCCCTAGCTTGGGCAAAATCCCAACCACCCAACTGACGGTTGGCTGCACAGATCTTGAGCAAAACCCAAGGTTTCTAGTAATTCTCGCTTCTGCAGAGACCAGTCCGGCCCAAACCACGACAGGATGCCTGCACTGGTTTATCAGCAACTTAATATGTTTTGCTTTTAAGAACACTTAAGTCCTCTGCAAACTTAGTATCCCGCAGTACGGCTTTTCGGGGAGCGCCGACGGCTGCACCGCACCGAACCGCCCGGGACAGGAAGGGACAAGCCCGACCGCAGGCAGGCAACGGGAGGAGCGTGGCGGGGGCCGAGGGCTAAGGTTTGTCTTCCCACCTTGAAGAAAAGCTGTGGGAGGAGGGTAAACACGGAGAAGCGGAGGACCAAAGCCACCAAGAGAAAAGAGGAGAGCCCTGTTTGACCTGCAGGGAGGCTCTGCCCATCAGCCCCTGCCGGATTACAGGCTGACTTCCCGGCTGGTGCTCGGGACCCTGTTCTTCTGCCAAAGAAGGAATCAAAATTTGTGGCTGTTACTGAGCTATTTCTCACCAGCTGGGGAGAATTTTGCCAACATTAAGCTTTGAACCATTTTACCAACATTAAGCAATAAGGAATCCTTGCAGCTGTGTGGTTTTGTTGGGTTTTCTTCATTGTGCTGCAGTGCCCAGCCCCCCTGAGCTCCATTCCTGGCCCTGCCTCACTACCTGCTGCTCATGCTGCTTCACGCCAGCTGCAGAAACTCGGGTTTTAAACTTTTTTTTTTTTTTTAAAGAGAACACAGGGATAAGGTTTCACTAAGCCCAGGAACCGTGACTATGAGATATTCCAAGGGGAGAGCAGAGGAGACCGAGGGCTGCTCCCCTATCCCGAGGGCTGCTCCCCTATCCCGAGGGCTCACAACAGCAGGATATTTCTTATGGAGAAACTCTCATGATTCCAGCAAGTGGCCCTTGCTCCAAGCTGGAAGGAGTCATAAACCAAAACCAGAGTTAACTAAATCGAGCTTTGAGCTACGCTGTCTGTGCCAGTGATAAGGGCTGTGCTTAGGAATGGCGCTGGTGACCTGGGGGCTGTGCTCACACCCCATATCCCCCCCTTCTTCAGGCTGTTAACAGTGGGCATCAAGGCTTGCTGATGTAAGGCCACAGTTACGTAAAGTCACTTGAGCTTCTTAAGGAGATAAAGCAAATGAATTATTAATACTTCAGACGAAATCATAGGGAGTTAATAAGGATTAAGTATTGTCCAGAAGGTGGACACAGACAACTTCCACCTTCATTGAGCCAAACACTTGCACTATGGCACCTCGAGAAGCTGCTCAGCTCTCCAGGGGATGCACAAGGAGCTACAGTTTACTTTGATGGCTCCCCAAGAGAAAAGAAGGTTGCTTCTAAGCATTACATCACCAGTGAAACTTTTTTCTCCCCTACCTGCCCTAGTTCCTAAAAAGTCAAATTTCCAGAGAGGTTTCTGCATGGGTTTCCAGTTTGATGGCTCCCCAAGAGAAAAGAAGGTTGTTTCTAAGCATTCCATCACCAGTGAAACTTTTTTTCTCCCCTACTTGCCCTAGTTCCTAAAAAATCAAATTTCCACAGAGGTTTCTGCATGGGTTTCCAATCTCTTTTGACAGAGCCTAGGACTGGAGGAGTGGTAGGGGTTGGGTCTCTCTGCTGGCAGAAACTCAACCCTCGCCCTGAGTCACCGCGCACTTCAAGGAAGAGATACCGAGCACCTACTGACCTCAGCTGCTGAGTTTCCTCATTACAGGAGCCATCATCATCTGGAGATAAGCATGCAATACTCCTTGTTTACAAAAAAACCCTCCTTTCTTTCATGTGGCTTAATTTCTGTTAGTGATTAAGGTTTAAGAAATTGCACTTTGTTAACCAAAGGTTTAAAGCATCAGAGGATCCCCAGGCAAAGCCAGCGTAGTTACAAGGCTTCTGTTACTAGTAAGGGTCTGAAACCAGCTGCCCAAACAGCAAACTTGGACTTGATCTCACTTGGAGAGAGCCTGGGAAGCAGACTGAAGATGTGTAGGTAGAGCAAAAAGCATCCTGTCAAGGCGAAGAAAAATTCCTCAGGAATTTCAATCAAAACCTAAAAAAAATTCTGAATTTGGTTATTCAGTTGCCTATAATGAACCGTTTGCATCCTATGGGGAAATCATTCTGATTTTTAACTACTCAGCAGTTACAGACTGATGCTCCCTTAATCCTCCTACGCTTTCTTTTTGTCCCCTCTTTCATGAGGAGTGGCGTTTGCTCATTTCCCTATCTCCGCAGGCCAAATGCTCCAAAGGACAGATAACAACTCTCCCCTGAGCACAGAGCTGCCTCTCCAGCTCCTTACCCCGAGCACAGGACATGGCTACACCACGGCAAGACAACACAACTCCACAGCTGCCCTGCCTACCCCTTTATTTCATACCCACCTCATATGGACAGCTCAATAAAATTACAAAGCAGTTAATGAAGCCAAGCCATAATCAGTCCCTACTTGAACAAGGTAACATCCACACTTAAATATCACCACAAGGGTAGTACAAGGAGCTAGAGATTGTTGTCACCAATCTTGAGCCGCCAAATTGTTTTCAGGGGGTTTCTATGTGCAGTGAGGGCAGACAATATCTGAAGGGAGCTACAGGAGAGCTGGGGAGGGACTCTTTGTCAGGAAGGGTAGTGACAAGACAAGGGGGAATGGTTTTAAATTTCAAGAGGGGAGATTTAGATTAGGTACCAGAAGGAAATTCTTTCCTGTGAGGGTGGTGAGACACTGGAACAGGTTGCCCAGAGAAGCTGTGGCTGCCCCATCCCTGGAGTTGTTCGAGACCAGGCTGGATGGGGCTTGGAGCAACCTGGTCTGGTGGGAGGTGTCCCTGCCCAGGGCAGGGGGGTTGGAACTCCATGATCTTTAAGGTCCCTTCCAGCTCTGACCATTCTATGATTCCATGAAAAGCCCTGGCACAAAGCAGGTGGGTGGCCGTGCCCTGAGTGCACTTATGGGTTACAATTGTCCTGATTTGCTTCATCTTGGAGGCTCTCAGCTCGCTGAAAGTTGCCCTGACCTGTTTCCTTTCCTGACCTGGGGACACTGATGGGGTGTGTTGCTTTGTGGACACCGTTGGGGTCACCTGTGGCTCCTGCTTGTCCGCTCCATGGAGCAGCTGCTCCCGAGCCTGGCTACGTGCTTGTTGCTGACCAAACGCCCTATTTCCCTGGAGACTGTTGATCCCTATCTTCTACCAGGCTGGCTGCATTCGCATCCAGGTCTGCAAAATGGCTACAGCTGCTCCACCTCCTCTGTTTATTTGAGATATATTTTTTAAAAAAATCGGCTCTTTAAAAAAAAAAAAAGCCCAACAAGCGAAAACATTAAGCCCCGAGTAGAAGGTGAAGGAAAGGCTCGAGTCCCAGGAGGGAGCCAGCAGCGGTGGCACCGCGGGAAGGGAGGCAGGGGCCACACCGGCATCACCCCCGGGCCAGCCGGTGCCCGCGACGCCCCGCGGAGGGACCGGGCGAGCTGCCGAGCGCCGCTGCGGGGGGTGCGGGGGGTGCGGGGCCCCCCGCCGCAGCGGCGGAGCAGAGGTGAGCCCCAGTCCGTCCCCGCATCCATCCATCCGTCTGA